GGCAGTCTCATCAGGGAAGAAATGCCATGAATTCTAATCCTGTGGCTGCTTCCTCCATATCAGCTTTCACACCCTCTCCCTGGATCTCCTTTTCAGATCCATCCCTCTTCTGAGATCCAGTGCCACTCTGGCCACAGCCTCCATCCTTCTAGCAGTCTCATGCTCTATCCCCAAATCTACATGGGGCCACCCCAATGCCCCACTTATAGAAACTACGTCTTTTATATGTCTCTGCTTCACCCCATCATCTTAAGCACCCCTTAAACCACTCTCATACTTGTGCCCTCAGTGTCCTTACCTTGTCCATCCGCTGTGTGTATGTTTACATTCCCAGGCCTTCTACACTCCAGACATTGTCTCTGTGCCATCTTAGGGTCCTGAGGACACTGTAGCCATGTGGCCTCAGCCACATGCCTAAGTGCCCCTAGGGAGGCATGCAGCTTTGATAAAGCTTTATCATTCTCCTCAAACCAAGAATGTCTGTTGTTACAAGAAGAAACTTTTCATTGCCATTTATTAGGGAGTTAGAGACCATCAGGCCTGAAATGCCCCCCTTGCCATCCTACCTTGACCTCTACCTACCTTATTCTATTCCTACCTCCTTACCTTCCCTTACCTGCATAGGGTGAAATTACCCTTTACTTGTCTGAGACCAGTCCCTGCACCATCAGTTACCCTTTCCCCTGATTCTTGGGGGCTTTTCTGTCAAGCTAGCTCTTTCCACACAGCCTAGAAACATGAAGAATTCAAAAAGCAAAAAACCTTCACTCTGTATCACGTTCTAGTTATGTCCTATTTTTTTCTCCCCTTCCCATCTAAATCTGTACACACGATCCATTTTGTCTAATGATCCATTAATTATTCACGAAAATATTTTTACTTTTATGCCTCTCCTGAAACATCTCACCGAGTTGATCAGTGACACCCCAATCAAATATCTTGAATTTACTTAGCCTTTTTTTCTTTTGCAGAGGAGATCTTCCAGATCTTCCTCTGTAGCCTAGACTAGAGTGCTGTGGCACAACCGTCCCACCTCAGCCTCCTGAGTAACTAGGACTGCAGGTGTGCACCAACACACCCGGTTATTTTAAAATATTTTTTGTGGAGACTGTTGCCCAGGCTGCTCTCAAACTCCTGCCTTCAAGCATTTCTCCTACTTTAGCCTCCCAAAGCACTGGGATTCCAGGCATGAGCTACTGTGCCTGGGCCTGCCATGCCCAAATACTGTAGTCTTTGACACTAGTGTAATATCTCCCAACTTAAAACAAAATACCCCTGTGACTCTACATTACATTCCAGGTACTGGCTTGTTTCTCTGCTTCTCTTTGAAGTAAAACTCACCAGTTTCTACTTCTCCTTCCCTCTCTTTAGAAACATTTCAACTGGGCTCTTGTTCCAGCCACTCCATGAAAACAGCTCCTGTCAAGATTGCCAGTGTGATCTCCAGATTGTCAAATCCAGTGGTCACTTTTTATTTATTTTTGTTTTTGTTTTTTTGAAACAGAGTGTTGCTCTGTCAACCCAGGCTGGAGAGCAGTGGCACGATCTCGGCTCACTGCAACCTCCACCTTCTGGGTTCAAGGGATTCTCCTGCCTCGACCTCCTGAGTAGCTGGGACTACAGGCGCACACCACCATGCCCAGCTAATTTTTGTATTTTTAGTAGAGACAGGGTTTTGTCATGTTTGCCAGGCTGGTCTTGAACTCCTGACCTTGTGATCCCCCCGCCTTGGCCTTCCAAAGTGCTGGGATTACAGGCATGAGCGACTAAGCCTGGCCACTACCTCCACTTCTAACACTCTGGTCCAAGCCTCATCATTCCTTACCTGGAGTTTTGCAGCTACCTCCTAACTGATGTCCCTGTTCCACCATTTCCACCCCTAAGTCTATTCTCAACATAGAAGCCAGAGTGATCCTTTTAAGTCATTATTCAAATCACATCACCTTTGTCAGATTTTTCCAGTGTTTCCTCATCTCATTCAGAATAAAAATCAAAGTCCTGGCCAGGCATGGTGGCTCACACCTGTAATCCCAGCACTTTGGGAGGTCGAGGCAGGCAGATCACCTGAGGTTCAGGAGTTTGAGACCAGCCTGATCAACATGGCAAAACGCCATCTTTACTGAAAATACAAAAATTATCCGGGCATGGTGGCAGGCGCCTGTAATCCCAGCTGCTCAGAAGGCTGAGGCAGGAGAATTGCTTGAACCTGGGAGGTGGAGGTTGTGGTGAGCCAAGATCACGCCACTGCACTCCAGCCTGGGCAGTAGAGTGAGACTCCGTCTCAAACAAACAAACAAACAAAAAAGAGTGTGTAGTGAGAAGAGAAGGGGCTGAAAGGACCCTGCTTGACCCATTAGAGCCAGCAAAGGAGAGAGCCAAGAAAGAGCAGGGAAGGAACTACCAGAGGTGGACAGAGTTTGGAGAAAACAAGGTTAAAACATCAAGAGAAGAGGATTTTGAGCAGGAGAAAGTGGCCAAATGTCAGTGCTGCAGATATGTTAAATAAAAGAAAGACAGAAAGTGCCCTGGGTGTGCCAGTTATGACTTTGGTGAGGGCATTGTCAGTGAGTATCAGAGACAGATGCCAGATGACAGTGGAGTGAGGAGGACAAGCAAATGTGTGAGGCCTGGCTGGGAAAGGAAGGAGAGGGAATAGCTATAGGAGAGGGTTAAGGAAGGCATTCCAGACATTTCTTCCTCCCATCACCCACTATTAGCCCTCTGCCCTGCCACCTGCCTGTACCTCCCCACTCACGCTTAGCAAACTATTCCTACTTACCAAAAAGTAGGATGGGGTCCCTGCATGTGGAATGGCTTCATGCCTACAGAAGTAGCTCCTTTACAGATCCCAAAAGACCATACACCCTGCCCCTGCACTCTCATTCTCAGATCTGCCTGTCAGGCCTCCTGGAGGGCCTTTTGCCCCTCCCTCAGAATCTCTACCCTTAACAGGGAGGATGGCAAGAGGGGAAAGATAATAATTTTCTTTTTTTTTTTTTTTTGAGATGAAGTTTCCCTCTTGTTGCCCAGGCTGGAGTGCAATGGCACAATCTCGGCTCACTGCAACCTCTGCCTCCCTGGTTCAAGTGATCCTCCTGCCTCAGCCTCCCCAGTAATCCCAGTAGCTAGGATTAGGCACCCACTGCCACACCCGGCTAATTTTTATATTTTTAGTAGAGACGGGGTTTCACCATTTTGGCCAGGCTGGTCCCAAACACCTGACCTCAGGTGATCCACCCGTCTCGGCCTCCCAAAGTGCTGGGATCACCGGCGTGAGCCTCTGCGCTTGGCCAATGATCATGATTTTCTTTCAGAATTAGGGCTTTACAATAGTCACCTCCTTTATTCAGCCAATATTTATTAAGCATTGCTGTTTTCCTAGCTGTGAGCTGAACACTAGGAATAGTTCATTGGAAAGATGGCTTCTACTCTCCAGGACCCCACAGTCTAGTTGGGGAGGTAGAGGAATCCACAATCACCATACCAGCTAAGAGGCACCATGATGAGGTAGGCCCAGGAAGTCACAGGAGAACTGAGTGGATGCCTATAACTCTGAAGTGAAGACCAGGAAGGCTTTCCCCACATGCACAGTGGGAACAATACCACAGCATCTGTGGCCCATCCCTCCCTGTTTTACGCTTACCTGGCTCCTTCCTTCACCTTCATGAGGTTACAAGTTCCCTGACAGCTCTTACAACATTATTAATCTATTTCTCTCCTTTCTTACTAGTGCCTTGTAGATAAATAGGTGAGCATCAAATATTAACAGAATGAATTAATGTATATTAATAAAGATGAGAGGATCTGGAGTGATTTAATTATTGTTCAACATTTTCAATAACAACAGATATGATTTATTAAGTGCTCCTTATGGTAGGTACTGTGCTGAACAGTATATAATTTATTTAAATTAATCCTCACAAAACTCCACAAGATACAGGTACTACTAATAATTCCCTTTTAAAAAAATACAAAACTTGGCTGGGTGCAGTGGCTCACGCCTATAATCCCAGCACTTTGGGAGGCCAAAGTGGGTGGATCACCTGAGGTCGGGAGTTCGAGACCAGTCTGGCCAACATGGAGAAACCCCGTCTCTACTAAAAATACAAAATTAGCTGGGCATGGTGGTGCACACCTGTAATCCCAGCTACACGGGAGGATGAGGCAGGAGAATCACTTGAATTCAGGAGGCAGAGGTTGTGGTGAGCCAAGGTCATGCCATTATGCTCCAGCCTGGGCAACAAGAGCAAAACTTCGTCTCAAAAAAAAAAAAAACATACAAAAATTACCAAAAATTTGTCAAGGAGATGTGTAAGTTGCCAAACATAACACTGCTGATATGTGGTGGAGCCAAGATTTGAACCCAGGCAGCTCAATTCCAGAACCAGGACAGTCTCTATGGGGCACTGCCTCTGATGCCCAGGAGAATTCTTCTGGAAAATGGAGTTGATTATAATTTTTTAATGTATGAATCATTTCATATTTTAAAATTAAACTTACCCTCCTCCAGGCTCCCATCGCTTGACGTCTGTAATTATTACATTAACTGCTTTGACATCTGTCACATCCTGGTTTGTCATATGGTGTGTGTGACTTACTCCCATATTGCACTAGAAATTCCTTAGGTACAGGAATTGTATCTTTATAACATATCAGCACAATAGCTCGCATCTTACTGGGAACTCAGTATGGTTTTGCCGGAAAAAATTCCATGTCACCATTATGACAGACTTTTTTCCTTATGATGATGAAGATGTTTTCTGTGTTAATGACTCCAGCCTTCAGCTACGTTTGTATGGCAAGGATGGAAGAAAGGGGAAGGACAACTTATATGTGCCAAATGCTATGCTGGGGCCTTTAGACATTTCCTATTTAACCTTCACAACAGCCCTGTGGAGGAAGTGGTATTGTCTGAATCTGAGAGATGGGGAAGGAATTCCTTGGAGAAATCACTGAGTTATAACCAGTGGAGCTGGAATTGAAATGTGGGTCTGTCTCACTGCAGCTTCTTTCTGTGCATTGCCTAGATGGCTGATGCTGACCCTGAGGAAAGAAACTATGACAACATGCTGAAAATGCTGTCAGATCTGAATAAGGACTTGGAAAAACTATTGGAAGAGATGGAGAAAATCTCAGGTAGGATGTGTGAACCCAAAAGCATCTGAGACAGGTCTCAATCAATTTAGAAAGTTTATTTTGCCAAGGTTAAGGATGCACCTGTGACACACCCTCAGGAGGTCCTCAGGACATATGCTCAAGGTTGGCAGGGTACAGCTTGCTTTTATACGTTTTAGGGAGGGAGAATATATCAGTCAGTACCTGTAAGAGGTACATTGGTTCGATCTGGAAAGGTGGGACAACTCAAAGGGGGATGATTCCAGGTTACAAGTAGATTAAATGTTTTCTGATTGGCAACTGGTGGAAAGAGTTACTGTCTAAAGACCTGGAATTGATAGAAAAGAATGTCTGGGTTATGATGATAAGGGGTTGTGGAGACCAAAGTTTTATCATGCAGATGAAGCCTCCAGGTAGCAGGCTTCAGAGGGAATAGATTGTAAAGGTTTCTTATCAAACTTAAGGTCTGTGTTCATGTTAATGCTGGTCACCTTTTTCTGAATTCAAAGGAGAGGCAGGTATGATGAGGCATACCCAATTTATCCTTCTCCTCAGGGTTTGAACCAATTTTGGCCAAGCAACACACCCACCTTGGCCTCCCAAAGTGTTGGGATTACAGGTGTGAGCCAGGGTGCCTGGCCAAATAATTTGTGTTCACTAGAGCAGACTTTAGGAAATCTATACTTAGAAATGTTTGCAATATTTTGCCTATGTACTTGTGAACTGTGAATAGCTGAGACACATATCAGTTAATTTAGAAAGTTTATTTTGCCAAGTTTGGGGACACTGACCTATGATACAACCTCAGGGGGTCCTAATGACATGTGCCCAAGGTGGTCAGAGCACAGCTTGATTTTATTTATTTATTTATTTTGAGAAACAGTCTCGCTCTGTCGCCCAGGCTGGAGTGCAGTGGCACAATCTTGGCTCACTGCAAGCTCCGCCTCCCGGGTTCACGTCATTCTCCTGCCTCAGCCTCCCAAGTGGCTGGGACTACAGGCGCCCGCCACCATGTCTGGCTAATTTTTTGTATTTTTAGTAGAGATGAGGTTTCACTGTGTTATCCAGGATGTTCTCGATCTCCTGACCTCGTGATCCGCCCGCCTCAGCCTCCCAAAGTGCTGGGATTACAGGTGTGAGCTACCGGACATGGCCTTGTATTTTTAATAGAGACGGGGTTTCACCATGTTGGCCAGGATGGCCTTGATCTCCTGACCTTGTGATCTGCCCACCTCAGCCTCCCAAAGTGCTGGGATTACAGGTGTGAGCCACTGCGCCCGGCCTTTTTTTTTTTTTGAGATGGAATCTCACTCTGTCACCCAGGCTTGAGTGCAATGATGCGATCTCAACTCATTGCAACTCCGCCTCCCGGATTCAAGTGATTCCCCTGCCTCAGCCTCCTGGGTAGGTGGGATTACAGGCGCCCGCCACCATGCCAAGCTAATTTTTGTATTTTTAGTAGTGATGAGGTTTCACCATTTTGGCCAGGCTGGTCTCGAACTCCTGACCTCAGGTGATCCACCTGCCTTAGCCTACCGAAGTGCTAGGATTACACACGTGAGCCACTATGCCCAGCCAGCAAACAGTTTTATGTATTGAAAAATCTATCAATATTTTCCTTTCTGATTTATTCCCATTATTTTGACACCTAGAATGTCTTTTCCTAATCTGAGATCAGTGAAATATTAGTTGTATTTTCTTCTACTTTTCTTTGTATTCCTTTTTAACATTTAATCCTAAACCATCTGGCATGCCAAAGGACCTACACTGCTTTTTTTCTTTTTTTTCTTTTTTGAGATGGAATCTCGCTCTGTCACCCAGGCTGGAGTGCAGTGGCGCGATCTCGGCTCACTGAAAGCTCTCCCTCGCGGCTTCATGCCATTCTCCTGCCTCACCCTCCTGAGTAGCTGGGACTACAGGTGCCCGCCACCACACATGGCTAATTTTTTTTTTTTTTTTTGTATTTTTGGTACAGACGGGGTTTCACCATGTTAGCCAGGATGGTCTCAATCTCCTGACCTCGTGATCTGCCTACCTTGGTCTCCCAAAGTGCTGGGATAACAGGCATGAGCCACCACGCCCAGCCACGTATTGCATTTTTATATAAATCTACAGGCTGGATGCGGTGGCTCATGCTTGTAATCCCAGCACTTTGGGAAGCCAAGGCAGGAGGATCACAAGGTCAGGAGTCCAAGACCAGCCTGGCCCATATGGTGAAACTCCATCTCTAATAAAAATACAAGAATTAGCCGGGCGTGGTGGCGGACGCCTGTAATCCCAGCGACTCGGGAGGCTGAGGCAAGAGAATCACTTGAACCCAGGAGATGGAACTTGCAGTGAGCTGAGATCATACCACTGCACTCCAGCCTGGGGGACAGAGTGAGACTCTCTCTTCTGTGATAATCCCTGGGCATAGAGGGAGGATGCTTGTATCGTTTTAGCAGCAGAGCATTTGTAGTGAAACAGATCCGGGCCGAGTGCGACGCCAAATGAGGGAGATTCATATCTTTGGTCATCTTCAGAATACCATGATTTTAGTTTCCTGGGAGGTAAAATGAGGAGAGATAAGTTTGACAATTATAAGAGTAATTTGTGCATTAGAACGGAATAAGGAACTTATTTCATTAGGGCACCAACAAAAAATATGAGGAAAAGTTATAATCTGGTACTCTCTAGAGAATGTAGCCAAGAAACAGTGATTTAATTTGCACTCAAAAAACTTGTTTTTTTATTATGGCCGGGCACGGTGGCTCACGCCTGTAATCCCCGCACTTTGGGAGGCCGAGGTGGGTGGATCACCTGAGGTCAGGAGTTCGAGACCAGCCTCAACTCAAATAGAGAAACCCAGTCTCCACTAAAAATACAAAATTAGCCAGGCGGGTGGTACATACCTGTAATTCCAGCTACTCAGGAGGCTGAGGCAGGAGAATTGCTTGAACCTGGAAGGTGGAGGTTGCGGTGAGCCAAGATCGCGACATTGCACTCTAGCCTGGGCAACAAGAGTGAAACTCCATCTCAAAAAAACCCACAAAAAACAAAAAACAGCTGGGCACGGTGTTGCACACCTGTGGTCCCAGCCTCTTAGAGGCTGAGGTGGGAGGATCAGTCAAGCCAAGGGTTTGGAGCCTGCAGTGAGCCATGATTTTGCCACTGTACTCCAGTCTGGGCAACAGAGCAAGATCTCAACTCAAAAGCAATACAAGACAAACATTCATTTCTCGAGGCTGGGAAGTCCAAGATCAAGGTGCCAACAGATCTGGTATCTGGTAAGAAGTCTCTTCCTGGTTTGTAGATGGTCACCTTCTTCTGTTTTTTTGTTTTTTGGTTTTATTTTCGAGAAGGAGTCTCACTCTGTCGCCCAGGCTGGGGTGCAGTGGAGCAATCTCGGCTCACTGCAAGCTCCGCCTCCTGGGTTCACACCATTCTCCTGCCTCAGTCTCCCGAGTAACTGGGACTACAGGCGCTCACCACCATGCCCAGCTAATTTTTTTGTATTTTTAGTAGAGACAGGGTTTCACCGTGTTAGCCAGGATGGTCTCGATCTCCTGACCTCATGATCCACCCGCCTCGGCCTCCCAAAGTGCTGGGATTACAGGCGTGAGCCACTGTGCCTGGATGATGATCACCTTCTCTTTTGAGACAGGGTCACACTCTGTCACCCAAGCTGGAGTGCAGTGGTGCAATCTTGGCTCACTGCAACCTCTGCCTTCCAGGCTCGAGGGATCCTTTTTTTCACCTCAGCCTCCTGAGTAGTTGCAACTAGAGGTGCACACCACCACGCCCAGCTAAATTTTATATTTTCTATAGAGGCAGGGTTTCAACATGTTGCCCAGGCTGATCTCAAACTTCTGAGCTCAAGTGATCCACTCACCTCAGCCTCCCGAAGTGCTGGGATTATAGGTATGAGCCACCTTGCCCGACCAGCCACCTTCTTGTATCCTCACATAGAGCCTCACATATCCTTGCATAGAGTGAGAGTAAGCTCTTGTGTCTCTTCTTTAAGGGGTACTAATGCCATTCAGGAGGGTCTACCCTTAGGACCTAATCATCTCCAAAAGACCCGACCTCCTAATACCTCACGTCGGGGGTTAGGATTTCAACAGGTGAATCTGGGGGGACACATTCAGTCCATAACATGTGTGCCAGGCAGTTTACATATGTCACCCATTTAACCCTCACAGTAAGCCATGAGATTGGTAGAGTCTCCAAAGATGAGGAGACTGAGATAGATATAGATATAGATAGATAGATAGATAGATAGATAGATAGATAGATAGATAGATAGATAGATAGATTTTTTTTTCTTTTTTGAGACAAAGTTTCGCTCTGTTGCCCAGGCTGGAGTGCGGTGGTGCAATCTTGGCTCACTGCAACCTCCACCTTCCAGGTTCAGGCGATTCTCTGGCCTCAGCCTCCCTAGTAGCTGGGACTACAGGCACCCACCACCACACCCAGCTAATTTTTATATTTTTAGTAGAGATGGGCCAGGAACACTGGCCATGTTGGCCAGGATGGCCTCAATCTCTTGACCTCATGATCCGCCCCCCTCAGCCTCCCAAAGTGCTGGGATTATAGGCGTGACCCACCGCGCCTGGCCGGGATTGATATATTTAAGCCACTTGTTCCAGGTCACATAGTTGGCAGGTGGAGAGCTGGAAGGCACACTCTGCTCTGGCTCCCAGGTCCCTGCTGCACCTGCTGTCCAGGTGGTCTGCAGCCTCCCTGTGCGGGAATGATCTGGGATGCTTGTTAGGATTTCACAAAGAGGAATTTTAAAGGGATATGTTTGCTATCTACAGTTGGTTGTCGTGCAGAGGGGAGATGACCTTTGTTCTGTATATTCGTAGAGGGCTGAACCACACCAGCCAGTGGACTATGCAGAGAAAAGGTTGGAGGCGTGATTTCTGCACACACTTCCTTAGAGTTCACACAAGAAGCATGTGTCCACCTATAGGCCCAGGGAATGCTACCTTCAAGTTGCTGTCAGAGGGAAAGAGCAAGAGAGTACGTCAGTTCATTGGTAGATGGTCAAGGATACCTTTCCAAGGGGAAAAGCCCCAGGCTTGGGCCTCGGCGAAAGCATAGAGGTGCCCAGGTGGAGGTGGGCAGGCATCCCAGGCCACTGAACATAAGGTGACATGAGGCTGGGGTCTTGCAGGACTAGGAACAGTCAGCTGTGCCTGAGTGTGTGAGCTTGGGTAGATGTTAGGACTCCTCAGGGGCCACCTGCAGCCACTGGCTGTGAACTGCATGTAGGTAAGGAGCTGCGGTTTGCTCTAATTCTCCTCACATTTCGTATCAGACCGGCCTCTAGCTTTTTAACATCATGTCTGGTGTATCCAGAAGTTATGCCTTGCATGAGACTGGGAAGTGTCACTATGGATATTTGTAGGGAGTTTTTATGAGCCTGTAACAAGTAGCCTACCAGCTGTCTCTCCCTGGATAACTGGGTGCCTCAGCAGGGTCTGGGCCTCCAGATGCTGAGCCCAGCTGCAAGCATCTGACCCTTCCGGAGTACCCCGGAGCCGCAGCCCCTCTCTGTGGCCTGACCAGGCCTGTCTGCTTGTTGCAGTGCAGGCAACCTGGATGGCCTATGACATGGTGGTGATGCGCACCAACCCCACGCTGGCCGAGTCCATGCGTCGGCTGGAGGATGCCTTCGTCAACTGCAAGGAGGAGATGGAGAAGAACTGGCAAGAGCTGCTGCATGAGACCAAGCAAAGACCGTAGGCCCCACTGGCCCACCACAGCTGCCATGCCACCCTCTGCCCATGAAGAGGTCCCTGGGGGATGAAGCTGGTGCCCACGCAAACAGCTGTATGCACTGTACTTGTTTCTTAATAAACTTATTTTTAAGCACAGCCCGAGGACCTCTTCTCTCCCATGCCATAATCCACCCAGCTGCATATCAAGCCTTGTGAACAAAACACGACAAGTGCAAGCTGTAGGTGCTTTCGGTGAATTAAAATGTATTTGGTGCCAGTGGTGCTGAACATAGAATAAAAAACAAAAAAAAGAGCCCAGACAGGGACACCCAGGCTGGAGGTTGGAGTGGGCCATAGTCAGATTTATTCACCTTTCTAGCATGGGTTTCAAAGTGCGTAAGGGAGAAAACACAGCATGGATTGTGCTGTGCATCCTGGACACCGTGCAAGGTGCTCACAGCTGCGATCTTGTCTCCCACAACTCTCCTGGGCGACAGATGTCCACCGTCCACATTTTACAGACAAGGAGAAAGGGAAGTCAAATGTCCAAGTCCACACAGCTAAAAAGGGGCAGAACTAGGGTGACGCTCAGGCCTCATTTAGAGGTGGGGGATTGGTGAGAAGTGGGGTGGGCTTCTGGAAGGGCTGGGAGAGCCCCACAAGGCTGCAGAGAGTGGTGAGCCCGGAGTGAGCCTGGCCTGGTATGGGCTGGGGGTATGGGTAGGGGCTGCAGACTGCAGGACAGCACCAACGGACCCAGTTTCAGAGGCAAGGGTTCTAGGCCCTTGAGAATCCACAGCGCCAAACAGACCCAGATGGCTACAGGGTTGGTACCTGGGGAGGCCTTAGGACAGGCAGAAAGTCCCAGAGGTGAGGGCATTGCCTGGGGACGTTTTTGCTCCCTGTCCTGCTGACAAGAGCCTAGGAAGTGTGAACGTTTTCTACCCCCTCCTCTCTCGGCTCAGCAGAGCTCCAGCAAGCCAGGTCCTTGTCTGCGGGGACGCATCAGTCCCTGGCTCTAGGGAATGGGGAGTCCCACAGACAGAGGGGTGTGAGCAGGCTGAGTGGGTCTGTAAGCAGGCACAGAATTGAGTCAGGAAACAGTTTGAGTGTGGAGTAAGGGGCAGAAAGAGGCTGAGGGCGTCTGGGCTTCAAAATAATTGACAACCTTTAAAGCAGAAGGGGAAAGTTGTCCAGAAACAAGAGCAGGAGGTTCCGATCCCAGCCCCTCCCTGAGCCCTGGCCTCTCAGGCCCATCCCAGGAGGGTCTCCCTGCAGAGCCCTGAGGCAGCTTTGGGTCTCTGCCTGCCACTCAGAGTGAGGTCTGCAGCCGGTCCTCAGCGGGCAGAGTCAGGATGAATGGGCTGAGGACCCCTGTGCTCCCCAAGGGGAAGGGCTGCAGCTCCTTGGCCTGGAACTGGGCAGTCCCCCCAGAGACGGTGAACGTGGCAGTGACCTGGGGGTTGAGGCAGTAAATGGTGTTACCCAGGGTGGTGCAGCGCAGTGGGGCGGGGGCGGGCAGGGGCAGGGAGGCAGCCCTGCTCCAGGAGCCGGTCACCGTGTTGTAGCGCATGACCGCCGCGCCCACACCCCGCAGTAGGTCGAAACGGTATAAGAAGCCTCCGAGCGCCACGATGTCGCTGGAACGCCGGTGGCTGGCACTGTATGGGCACTCGTCCCAAGCATCCTTCACAGGGCTGTACCTGAGCAGGCGGTAGAAGAGGTGACCCCCTGTGACGTAGATGTCCCCACGGCAGGCCACAGCCTCGTGGGCCACAGGGAAGGTGCCTGCGGGGAGAGGCGCGCGTGGGGTCCAGGCATCTGTACGCGGGTCGTAGCACTCCATGCTGTACAGGCACTCGCCACCGATGGCATACAGCAGCCCGTCCAGGGCCACCAGCTTGAGCTGGGCTCGGGCCTGCTGCATAGGCCGAACCTGGCTCCAGATGTTGGTCAGAGGGTTGTAGCAGAAGACCTCGTTGGAGCAGACGGCCTTGGCACCGGAGCCTCGGATGCCCCCCGCCAGAAACAGGTAGTTGTGCATGGTGCAGAGACCGCAGCCCCGGAGCGGGGCCTCCTCGGGCACCTGGGTCAGGGGCCGCCAGGTGTTCTCCCGGGGGTTGAACACATGCAGGTGCGAACGTAGAGGCAGGGGCACAGGGGCCGCCACAGGAGGCTCCTCGCCACGAGGGCCCCTGGGGAGCCCTGAGCGGCCCCCCTGGTAGAGGCTGGGCAGTACGAGGACACCCAGCACCGCCTGGCCCCGGCCAGTCCGCAGGCTGAGGATGCGCTCGCGGTCGGCTGCGCTCAGCCGGCGGTAGAGGCTGGGGTCTCCCAGCACTCGCAGCAGGTTGTTGCTCATCAGCGCGTAGGTCTCCTGCGCCAGGCCAGGCTCCCCGTGCTGCTGGGCAAAGGCCAGCACGTCCAGGCAACTGCCCAGGTCCAGCCGCGCGCGCAGGGCCGCCGCCGTGGTGGGCTCCAGGGCCCGGGAGCTGGGCTTCCGGGGCCCCTCCACCACCCCCCAACTCCCGGGCCTCTGCAGAAACACCAGGAGTTTCCGGGCCTCCTTCTGCTTCTCTGTGAGCGCCCCGCTGCGGCCAGCAGGGCTGCCCCCCTGCCCCGGCGCCTCCCCTGGAGGGTCCCCTGAGGCGGCCGGCCTGACCTCCTGCTGCGAGGTCGGGGCGATTTCACACCCGCTGCGTTTCCGTGGCTGGGGTACCGGCTGTGAGCGCCTCACAGAGGAGCAGGCCACGGGACCAGACGGCCTCTGTGCAGGGGGCTGTGGGGGGCCCCTGGGCACCGCAGCTTGGGACAGCGAGTCTAGACTTTTCTCCCTGGTTCCCTCTCCTCTTAGGCCTGGGGGAGGGTCTGGGCTGGGCGTTCCGTTGGTCTCGGAGCTTCTTGTCTGTGGCTGACCTCCAGCCTCGACCAGGCCCCCTATACCTGTCCCCATGACTGTCCCCACTGAAGAAGAGGGACCATCACTGTCCTCAGAGTGTGTGGAAGTGCTGGGATCCACAGGGCTCCCAGGAACCGCCCTGGGGACACTCCCCTGGGGCCTCTCTTGCCTGGGGAAGGGGTGGCTTCTAAGAACCATGGCAGTAAGGTTTCCCCAGCTGGCTGAGACGTGCCCCTCCTGGTAGCGCCTGGGGACAGCCACACTCTCCTGAGGCTTCCACCCGCCAACTGGGGCAGGGGATGCGGCTGGGGCAGGGGATGTGGCTGGGGCAGGGGATGCGGCTGGGGCAGGGGATGTGGCTGGAGCAGGAGATGTGGCTGGGGTCAGGGCTGGAGGTGGGGCTGAGGTGAGGGTTGGGACTGGGACTGGGACTGGGGCTGGAGTTGGGGCTGGAGCTGAAGCTGGGGCTGGAGCGAGGACTGGAGTTGTAGCTGGACTTGGGGCTGGGGCTGGGGTTGAAGTTGGAGCTGAGGTTGGAGCTGGGGTTGGGGCTGAGGTGGGAGATGAGGTTGAGGTGGGGGCTGGGGTCGGTACTGACACTGGGGATGAGGCCAGGGCTGGGGCTAGGACTGAGGTTGGAACTGAAGTTAAGACTTGGGCTGAGGCTGAACTTGGGGCTAGCGCTGCTCTGAGATTTTTGCCCACAGGAGGACCCTGGGTAACCCCCAGGGGCAAAAAATCTGAAGGAAAAGGG